CTCTCTCTCTTTTCCTCGTTTGTCTCTCTCTCTCTCTCTCTTTTCCTCGTTTGTCTCTCTCTCTCTTCCAAGCTCTCACGGACGGACGATTGGGTCCTTTCGCGTAATATGCGGTCAAGGTTCATTCTTTTTTCCCTGACCATTGCCTGGAGATAAGTTTTTCTGTAGCACATTCGCAGTTTTTTTCCAACAGCATTACAATTGTGGGCTCACACGTGACTAAATAGTTTGTATATGTCATGTTTTCACATTATTTCATTGAGCTCGTGCTAGTTCTTTTAGAAATTGATGTATTTGACTTTTGGGGATTTTCCCCTGTGTCAGTCTGTCCGTGCGTCGCTTGTCAGCACTTGCATCTAACCATTCAGTTTATTTCTCCAAGTTGATATTGCTAGGTGGATTGGGCGGACCTACAGGTGCTGCGAATTTGAAACGCATTTTGAATTTGTAGGTTTCTTTACATGAGACTTAACATTGTAATTTTATTTTACAAAACTAGCTCATTTTTTTAAAATTAATTTGCTACACATACAGCGGCAAGATAGACTGAAAATGATGCATGTCTTTCAGAATTTTGGAAAACAGCAAAATTGCAAAAATGTTCAGTGTTTTGTCAGAAACACTACTTGGTAGATTTTTTCGTGACGAGATCTATTCTAGGACACCTTTTTAAATAAGATCATGTTCAATTTTTCGAAAATATGAGTAGTTTTTGTTTAATTTTGCTTTAAATTTCTTCATTGGAGCCACGAACACTCATAAATATGGCACAGATCGTATTAACAGTTAACTCTGTATTTTCAAAAATTGAAAGTGAAAAAATAAAAAAATTAAAAATTGCATAAGTACTGTTAATACAAAACTTCTGTTGATGAAGATTTTTTGCGCCCTATCATTCCTTCTTCTTCCTTGTATCTATTTCCCATATTTATGCATATGCGTATGCGCGCGCACATGCGCCACGCATGCGCACATATGCGCACGCAGACGCCACGCACACGAATGCACACATGTTCACACGGATGCGCGTTTTGACTAAAATTTAAAACAACTTCATTCCTTTTAATATGTTTTTGTTTCACAGAAATTACTTCAATGTCGTTAAACAAGAAAATAGAAATTAAAGCAGTGAGCAGTTTAGTAGGTGTTCTTTCACAAGAGCAGTTCTTTTGAATCGAGTAGTTTTCTATAATGGGTTTTACCATATTCCTTTTTATCTTTAAATTAACTTGCTTCTTCAAGAAATGAACTGTGAATTTTTTTATAACATTGGTTGGTCTTTTTCAGGTGAAGCATTTTGACCGCAAAAGAACCTATTTGAAGTTCAAGGACCGCATTGAGAAAGAAGGGTATGAACCATTATCAGAGGAGAAGTCATGACAGTGACATTTGCATTATGTAGATTGTAATTCTAGTCAAGAAGTAATTCCATTATTTCCAAATGCCTGCGACAAAGGGTTTCCAAAGTTAATAGAATGAAGGTAGATTTTTTCTTTTCTGTGATAGGAGAAATGGTGGGGCTTGTAATTTTTCCCAGAAAAAGTGTGTTCTTCAAATATTCTGTATATTGTCTAAAATTTGTTTAAGATGATTTTACTTGTACATAGATAAATTGGTAATTCTCATTTCACTATTTAAAGATAACATAAAATTTAATATTCATTTACCTTCAACTTCTTATAATGACTTATGATTTGAATTCCACTTGCAGTATTTATCAATTTTAGTGAATGAATTTTTCATGACTTTTGAAAGGATTTTCCAAATATAATTCAAATAATAAATTACATGGACCCTGATGTATGTCTTTTTTGAGTAAGTTCCTGTTGATTGAGACTCAGATGATGAAAGTTCAAAGGAATTTAGTTATGAATGCAGGTTTAGGTTTTTTAATGATCACATTATATGTGATTAATTTATAGTTTAGTGTAGTAATATGTTATAAATAAACAAGAAGTTACAATTCTGACTAATTGCTCATTTATTGGTTTGTTGACTTCAAGGTAGATAATGAGTAGTTTGGATTATAAATAAGTGGTCATGATTGACTTCCTCTCATTGATTCTACAAAAGTTTTTCAGTTTTTCTTTTGTAGTTTCCTTCTTTTTTCTCTCTTTTTTTTCTGCTTGGCAAACTGTAGAGAAGGATGCTAGTACTCAGTAAAAAAAAAATATTTTTTTTTAATATTCTGGTATACATGTTTAAATTAAGATCATCATTTAATTCACTGTCAATACTTTCTTGTCCAAATTTCTTAGGTTAAGAAACCAATGGCTACCTGTGAATGAATTGTTATTGCCAAAAATAAAAAAAAATTGAATTGGATATGTTTTCTTTACATCCTTAGAGACATATCCTTCTCCTTTCAAGGATTATTGTTTAATGGAGATGCTTTAAGTAAGTGTTGATAGAAACTAGATGATGGTATGAGGTGATAAATATCGGCTTCTGAATAAAATAATGATTGGCAAGATTTTTATGAAGCTGCTAAAAAGTAAAAATCTAGCTGGCAGCCCTTAATGCTGTTAAATTTCTTTTCACCATTGTAATCTTTACAAGTAAATCATCTAATCTTCATGACAAACTTCAGGAATAATGCCCGAGTGGATGTGAACCAAAAATGTTTGTCATCGGTCCTCCTTAATTTTGTACCAAATGACCCTTTTCATTTACAGTGGTATAGTGCACAGTAATTGTGATCTGTTAGAATAATCATGTTCATGAAGAGTATTTTGGAACATTAATATTTTCACAGCAACATTTGTGCTCCATTTCCCACTCAGGAATTATTCCCTAAATTTGTTAGTCGAGGTTTGATTTGCCTCAGTGTATTAAACATTATTTTAACATATTACTTGGCATATTAATTTAGCAAAAGTAGGCATTATTTCCAACAAATTTAATTTGTTTTTAATAAGATATATTTAATATAATTGTGCACTTGGTTCAATCTTTTCATTAGTCTTTAAGTAAGCACTTGAATGAAGTCACAATGAAAGACATTTGAGGTGATGGTGAATTAGTTCTTGTTTATCTTTTTCCATTTTATTTGAAATGATATATAAATAATGTATATGTAACTGAGAAAACGTTGGTTTGTGTATGCTTCAAAAGCTCGAAGTTCTGCACCAATTGAGCTCAAATTTTTGATATGGTATACAACTTGCTTTAAAAATATTTTTTTTCTGTAGGATATTATTCAGAATTTTATGCTGTAGAACAAAACTAAATATCCATGTCAAATGCAACCCGCAACACACTCGGCAGGATTTTCTTGAATCTATATAGTTAAATAAGTCACAGACATAGTGTTTTAGGACATTAAAAACTAAACTTTTTATGCCTAGGCCTCAAAGAAGCATTTCTCACAACACAATCTACTGGATGAGATCTTTTTGAACTTTCTATTTCATTTTTTCTGAGGGGAGAGGGAGGGAGACGAAGAGGGAGGAGAGCGAAGAGAGGAAAAGAGAACGTCTGCCGAGTTCCACTAGTTCATTACATTTATTTTAATTTATTAATTAATTCATAAAAAAAATTCTTTCTTCCCGATATACCAAATGTTATTTTAATCTAATTTATGTTGAGAAAGGAAGAATATAACTGTTTGGAAGATGCAGGAAATTTGAAGAAATGAATTCTAACGTAGTTGATGTGTGTGGTTAGGCAGCAGCCTGTACCTTTGGCCATTCTATACTTCTAGAGATAATTTTTTAGTTACCTACATGCAGTGCCAGTGCTAGACAATTTTGGGCCAGGGGCAATGCTGAAACCTAACTCCTTCCTGCAAATTGTGAAAGCAAAAAACTATATTAGATATTTTATTTCTACAAATATAGCAAATTATAATGTGTAAGCTAAGAAACATTTTTTGGAAATATATAATATATTTAATAATTGTTTTAAGTAAAAATATTTAATAATCAAATAATACAATTTCCGTGAGGTTAAGATACTAAAAAATTTTGTTGTGTTTAGTTGGTGTGTAATGAAATCACTGGTTAAGTATATGAAATAATGATTTTGAATTTCATTAGAATCTATTTTGGTTGTTGTTAGGGTCATTTGATTCATTTCATTGAGTCCTACGTTCCAAATAATGGGAATAACTATTTTAGGTAAAAATTTGTTTGTAAATTGTATGAAATGCCAGACTACTGTACTACAACTTATAAAGTTACGATGACGAGTTTCTCAAGTTCTAATTTCTTTTTCAATTTTTTATGAATGTGTTCCCATCATCGGACTTTAGGTGTCCCCGAACTGTCCATGCCTAGCGCTAGCACTGCCTACTGGAGGCATGAAATGGGGAAAGTAGCCAGGTTCAATTCTCGTTTTGCATCTGAAACCAATTTGATCACATGCTTCTATTTAGTAAAGGAATGTTTAACTTTTAATTAGTTGCACTTAATTTCATCATTACTCATGATATGTCATAATTATTTCTCTTTTCAAACAAAATAGAAAACTGGAAATCACCAGGGAATTTGTTATTCTCTGGAAAAGCTCAGGAATTTTTTTCTTATTTCTAAGGATTTCAAATTATTTCAAATTATTTTGGAAGTTATCAAAATAAGAGTATTTTGGTTGTTAGAAAAAGTGTGCATATTCAAAAATGATTTTCTGAGGAAATTACTTAAATTTTGAATGTTGAATAATTTAAGTGTGATGTTTTTTAACAGAAGCTTACTCTTAAAAAATGCACTACGCACCATTGTTCCCATTGTTATGTAAACACATTAAAGGAACTGTCACAGTGAGCTGACAGGAAGGACCATTCAGCATGAACCCATATTATCAAAGACAGTTGCATTCTATATAGTCAAACAGGATGTGACCTACGATGGCAAAACAGACTATGGCTATGGAATGCAAACTAATAGTGAAATTTTGTTCTGAGAGTTCGGAAAGGCCAAAATGTTCTTTGTACCAATGAATCTTTTATAGTTAATGGTTTTCACGAATATTTTTTATTTTATGAGGTAATGCATTACTTCAAACTTGTCTTTGGGCTTTCGATAAAAAAAAAATGAAAAACATCTTGAAGGAATTAATTTTTTTATGTAGTAAGATTCACTGGATCATTTCAGTGAATCATCTTGGCATTAGACTCAGTGTGGTGACTAAGTAAGGAATTAGTTCATTGTGTGATGCATCTCATATATTCATGAGAAGTATATTGGTATACAAATGCATTGGAAATCATGCTTTGTATGGGCTGAAGGTTATTTTATGTAAATTGTGAAAGTGGAGCCTCCTTGCGTCCATTTGGAAATGCTTAGCAACGTGTCAACTAGGGGATTCAGAGATGATGAATTAAGCAGTATCATATAAATATAAATTTGTAATTAATACAGTGGAACTTGTAACTACACCCCTCTCTTCCATCCAGCAGTCTCATTTATGTTTATCACAAAATATATGCTATTCTTTGTCTCTGTAACATACTTTACCTACTCTAGCCACCTTGTGTGTGTAATGTGTGTTTCATCTGGCTAAAATCCAAAGTGTTCTTTGAAGCTCTTCGTACTTTGTACTACCATCCATTTTGAATATTATGAACATTAACTGGTTAATTTGCGATTTAGTCAGATTTGGATATTAGTCATTTCACACTCACGTGCGCGCACACTCGCACGCACACTCACGCAGGTGCGCACACACCACACCACACCACACCTCACGCGCACGCTCACGCGCACACACGCACACGTTCACGCGCACACACGCACACGCTCACGCGCACACACGCACACGCGCTCGCACACGCACACACTCACACCAGAAAAATGGTTTTCAATTCTAAATACAAGTTAAAAAACCCCGTATGTATCAAAACTTTTATTTCAATATTTCAGGAAATAGTTCTGTACATTGTGCCAGTTTTTAAAGACTTTTCTTGTGTGCTAGCTTTGTTTAAAATAGACCCATTTTGGGCATCCATTTTATGCTTGATTTCCCATCTCATTTGTTTGGTCATAAATAGGAATAACAGTGTTTTCACAACTGAAGCAATGTTATATGATGTGCAAATAAAACCACATACATCACACACCCAAGTTTTTCTCTTGAGAATCAAAATTGTTTAAAAGTTTCCTTTACTTTTAGTTGTGTTTTGTTTGGTATAAGAATTTTTTAAAAATTTTTTCTTCTTCTTCTTTCTTGGGGACATACTATATTCTTGCACACTTCACTAATTGTCTCTTCATTTCATTGTGAGATTTGGACACTATGTAGATAAAACATTAAGTTAGTGAGGATGGTTAAGGACTTTCCAGCTCATTGTTTAAGTAATTTCTTTTATAAACATCAGTTGCAATATCAAGTGTATTATTTTGCTTTGCAAAGT